TCTACGTGTAGTTATCAATAATTTCTTGGAAATTTACAGATTCAAAACTCACACAATTTAAAACGTGTCTATTCACGGAAAAATGAGAAACTGGAAAAAAATGAATAATTGTGCCGACTTTTGCACTTAAATCCATGTAACTGCGTAAACTGTGTAAATTTTGCACATACAAAAAGAAACTTCTCAAGCAAATTTAGACTACCAGGTTCTTTAAAATTTATGAAATAATAAAAAATCAAATGATCGGATGTCTACTTTTCACACTGCGTAATTTATTATATTTAAATATCAATTACAACAAGATGATTACAAAATTATTATAAAACACATTGAATTCGTAAAATATTAATGCCAAAGTTGACATGTTTCGTAAATTTTTATAGTAGCTTCATAATTTAGGTGCAATCTCCCCTACGCGAATTTGGCAAGCTAGCTTGAATACTTACTAATTGACAAAAATAATATTGCGCAAAATTAAAAAAATGAAAAAACTATACTAAAATTTTTCGAAATAATGTCATGCCAAATTTTGATTTTAATTTTTTCTCTTCCTCTCGCCAGGTAAAAGTTTGCGTAAAAATGGGAGAATAATTCATACTTTTAAACGAAGCGTGCTGAGAAATCATGTCATCGTATCTGAATTGAAAGCATGGAATAAGAGATAAAAAAAACATAATTGTTTCAATTTTTGTGAAATTCTGCCCTTATTATGTCAATCCATAAATACTTTGACATTGATAAGTACAGCAAAAAATACGTACGCCCAAGGCCCAAATATGTGCATATTGCCATGCACATGCTAAATTTTAAGTATGTATGTACAAACGCAGTGACTATATACTGATGTACTTTGTACTAAATATGATTTTCAAGTATATTTGGCCAGGTCTGATATTGAGTAATTTAAAAAATAAATGTTTATTTCTGTATGTAAGAAAATCTTTAATAATATGTAAAATTTCGAAAAAAATGAAAGAATTTGGGCCTAATAGGGTAATAGCTTCGCGACTCTCAGAGTGCGACATAAATACTTAACAACAATTAAATGCAAGATTTTTAATAATTGTGACGCTTGGTTTTTCGCATTTATTTCTGTTCAGCATTTTTCTCTCATTCTTATTCCCTTTTTATTGTATTTACATATACACAGATAAATAGTCCACATCATGAGGAAATCGCCCCTTTGGAAGTCCAGCTCAAAGATGCCCAGTCCCGGAATTCATTTTTGGAAGATGAGCTACATTCCATTCCATTTCACTTCCTTTCTAAAACTCGGACGAAGCAGACGTGCTCGCTCTCTGCTCCCACCAAAAATTTATTATTTTGTTTCGTTTTTTTTCAGTTCATAGTGAACTTTTTTTTGATCATCTGTTGTTGTCTAAGCTGCAATTAGTTTGAAGGCAGCTCTCAACACACTAGACATAATTAGTTATGGATTCGGGCCGAGGGGGTTTCCGTCGGCTTCAGTTTGAATCAACACCAGCAGTGACAAGTCCGCCAGAACAACTGAGCGCGACAAATGCGAGCCAGATATGAAGAAGAAGTGGCCATCGACGAGGTGTTTTGGAGGTTTGGAGCAAATTTCGATCTCGTCGGTGCCTCAACGACAAGGCCGTCCAGTTGGGATCAGATGGGATCCTGGGAGTGATGACGAAGAAGTCCATTGGTGAGAAATTAATTGTTAATTAATGATTTATTGATTCGCTTAATTACGTCAAATAAGTAATACGAAAATGATGTATTTTTTAGGACGAGCGTGGAACATTCGGTCGCTGGACAGCTCCAAAGTCGAAGCCCATGGGGATGTGGGCGAACCTACGAAGAAGGTGGTGGCTGAAAAACCAGCCGTCGAGGCGTCTCCGACCAGCGGTGTGGCAAAACCAGCGTTTAATTTCGGAATGAGTGCACCTGCCCGACCTCCTCCACCGGCTTATGTTGAAGATGAACCTGTTGTTCTTCTCCCAGAAGAATCTTCAGAACCAATCGAAGCTGTAATTCCCCCTGAAGACTAGGAACCTGTTGTAGTTACCCAAGAGGGACAAGAGCAGGAACAAGCCAACCCGATTGGTGACGAGGTAGAGTCCAGTTCATCATGTTCAAAGAGTGATGAAGGCGTTAGCTGGGTTAGGTGTAACGCTGCGTCGGAACTAATACGATGTTAAGTAGCTCCCACAACACAAGTGAGGCTTGCTTTATTTGTGAAGCTTCAAGTTCAAAGTTTTAATATTTTTTTCTTGCCCTGATCACAGATTAGACATTTGGCCAGGATATTGCATCGCCGTGGATGAGCAAGAAGGTGGTTTAATGCTTTGTTTGGATGCATATCATCAAGATGGTTTCCTGGCGAAGGACGCGATGAGATGCATCCAAACAAAGCATTAAACCACCTTCTTGCTCATCCACGGTGATGCAATATCCTGGCCAAATGTCTAATCTGTGATCAGAGCAAGAAAAAAATATTAAAAGCCATTCTGACCAAGTAGAATTTGGAGATGGATAATGTCCCCCTCACAATGAAGGCGCATATCCACGCTGGACCAGTTCTCAATTTTGGCAAGAAGTAGCTCGCTGCTGCTGGACTTTAGCCGTGATGCACTGACCGGTCTTGTCCAACCTGTAAGATCTCAAGAATCCAAATGTCACGATAATGTTGCATATTTATTTAATTAGCACCAATAAATAAAACTTTCTAAATCTTGAATTGATAGGCACATGTGAACAAATACTTGCTGATTTGTGCTCAACGCGACAGTGACAAACCGCGCCGCTCTTGGTGGATCAATATCGAAAAGCATGCATGCAATTAGGAATCCAGACTGGAAGGCCAAGTTTGCAGAATTTGCCATGGGAAACATTGTTCTCACCCGATTTAATAACGCTTCTTATAAAATCGACGCATCCGATGCGTGCCACCAAATATCGTCGATTTTATAGGATTTTATAAGAAGCGTTATTAAATCGGGTGAGAACAATGTTTCCCACGGCAAATTCTGCAAACTTGGCCTTCCAGTCTGGAATGCATGCTTTTCGATATTGATCCACGAAGCGGCACGCCTTGTCACTGTCGCGTAGAGTACAAGTCAGCAAGTATTTGTTCACATGTGCCTATCAATTCAGGATTTAGAAAGTTTTATTTATTGGTGCTAACTAAATAAATATTCAACATTATCTTGACATTTGGATTCTTGAGATCTTACAGGTTGGACAACACCGGACCATGCATCACGGCCAAAGTCAGGTCCAGCAACAGCGAGCAACTTCTTGCCAAAATTGAGAGCTGGTCCGCGCCAGTGCTCCGAACGGTACGGTATCGGGACGACCCGATCGGAACGCTGTACAGATTGAGTTTTTCCGTCCCGTACCGATTCCCGAAGCCAGGTTCTAATCCCATCCCGAACTGTCCCGATGATTTTTCCGAACCGATACCGTACCGAAAACTGACGGTTCGGGACGGAATGTCCCGATTTTTTTATGAAAAAGATTAGTGTCGCGTTCTACTATAATACAAATTTTGCTACACCAGAGCCAACATCAATTTTTAGCCAGGAAAGGAAAGGACTTCCCCATTATCCGCCTATTGAATTGATAACTCCTGTAAAGTCGTCCTATTGATCTGACATTTCAGGCATTTAAAATACGTAAAATTACAAATGATACTGTGTAATATGCTGCTCAAGTTTTTGACAAATTCTAGGCCCCTTTCGTGCCCATGAAGGTGCAAAAATATATAAGTTGTTTTTGATAAAATAATTAAATGATTTGGCCCAAGCTTGGTTTAAAACGGCAATGCTTTAAAAAACGAATATTTCACGAGGTTAATTTAGCACTAATGCAATCGAGCCAAAATTTTTAAACAGTAAAATCCAGTCGTGATCACTAAATAGTGACCGGAAGTGACCAGGGAAACTTTCGAACCAAACCCTAAGATGAGATCCATAAATTATGTCACGCAAAAATCCCCCCCCCTTTAACATGTGTCACATAGGCACGATATCATTAGAGCCTTAAACCCCCCCCCCCTCCCGCGTGACATAATTTATGGACCGTCCCTTAAGTAAATGCGTTTTGATATTGCTAACTAAAATTTATAAAGTGTTCAAACTTGCTCATGTGCCTCCTCTTAAGAAGTTGTAGAGGCCTAAGACACGCCATGAGTTTTAATTTATTTATTTTTTGACAAAATTAATTTCAAGTTGTATAAGTTTGAGAAATCATAATTTGCAATTGACGCATAATTGAACAGGCTAACTCAGGCTAAAACAGGCTACACTGGTTTCATTAATGCAGAGTTTATCTTGGAGTAACATTAAAGGATCTCTACATGAAAAACAAAATAAAAAATCTTCGGTATATTCCGAAAATTTCGGAACGCAATCGGGAATACCGATCCCGATACCGTCCCGAACTTATCGGAACATTGGCTTGTACCGTTCCGAAATCGGGATTTCCCGATTTCTTTTTTCGGAACAGTGGACCATTTCGTTCCGTACCGTTCCGATTCCCGATGGTACGGTATCGGGACATACCGATACCGATCAAAGCACTGGTCCGCGCCTTCATTGTGAGGGGGACATTATCCATCTCCAAATTCTACTTGGTCAGAATGGCTTTTAATATTTTTTTCTTGCTCTGATCACAGATTAGACATTTGGCCAGGATATTGCATCACCGTGGATGAGCAAGAAGGTGGTTTAATGCTTTGTTTGGATGCATCTCATCGCGTCCTTCGCCAGGAAACCATCTTGATGATATGCATCCAAACAAAGCATTAAACCACCTTCTTGCTCATCCACGGCGATGCAATATCCTGGCCAAATGTCTAATCTGTGATCAGGGCAAGAAAAAAAATATGAAAACTTTGAACTTGAAACTTCACAAATAAAGCAAGCCTCACTTGTGTTTGACGCCCTTGACATCGTAATAGTTTCGACGCCGCATTACACGACCCAACGCCTTCTTTGAACATGATGTTGATGAACTGGATCATCGTGTAAGCCGGCCTATCCTTCAAGAAGACGGTAATGAATGATGTTCAATTCGGTATCTGGACTGTTGGGATGAAACCCTTTCAATTCGGTAACCTAAAGAAATCAATATTTAACAATTTATTATTCTTAGTTCTTGCCATAAAGTCAGTCAAGCAACTTAGCTGCTCATCGAACTTGACGGTGGTAAAGAGCATTCGTCCATCGAAGGTGTACGTGCGATCTCCCATGACGGCCCGCACCGATCGGTTCTTCATCATGGTGCTGTCGAGGGGAGGATCGAAATCCACATGGGATTCGTGAATCGTGCAGTTGCCGATAAACCTTAACCGAATGTAATTCGTGGCCGCTGCGATTCTGCAAGCAAACCATTAATCACTCAGTGTACTAATTTAACGAAAAAGTTTAAATGAGCATGATTCACTCACTCCTCGCCCTTCGCTCCTCGTCGAATCATTGGAGCTCGATCACGTTGAGACGCTAAAGTTTGGGCTTCCTCTGTCCCAGCAGCGGCTGCAGGCTGTTGTCCCAATGGAGCCTTGTTTTCTACTTCTTCAGTAGCCATTTTGCCACGTCCTCGACCTGAACTTGATGTCCCGACCGCCCCGCTACTAAGCTTTGATTTCGAGAGAGTCGATGTAGTCCCCATGGCTGGAGATTATCAAATGACTGGACTCTGCCTCATCACCAATCGGGTTGACTTGTTCCTGCTCTTTTTGTCCTTCTTCCGGGGCTTCTTGTCCAACCACGACAGGTTTCAAGTCTTCAGGGGGAATTACAGCTTCGATTGGTTCTGATAATTCTTCTGGGAGAAGAACAACAGTTTCATCTTCAACAGCCGGTGGAGGAGGTCGGGGAGGTCGGGCAGGTGTGGGTGCTCTCATTCCGAAATTAAACGCTGGTTTTGCCACACTGCTGGTCGGAGACACCTCGACCGCTGGTTTTTCAGCCACCACCTTCTTCGTAGGTTCGCCCACATCCCCATGGGCTTCGACTTTGGAGCTGTCCCCACCGAATGTTCCACGCTCGTCCTAAAAAATACATCATTTTCGTATTACTTATTTGACGTAATTAAGCGAATCAATAAATCATTAATTAACAATTAATTTCTCACCAATGGATGGCCCCATAACCTCTTCATCACTCCTCCTCTGATTCCAACTGGACGGCCTTGTCGTTGAGGCATTGACGATATCGAAACTTGCTCCAAACTTCCAACCGCCTCGTCGATGTCCACTTCTTCATATCTGGCTCGCAGCTCTGTCGCACTCAGTTGTTCTGGCGGACTAGTCGTCACGGCTGGCGTTGATTCGAACTGAAACTCAACACTGGGCGTCTGTTCGTCTTCCTCATCTGGTGAACTAAAAACATGGAGCGGAAATAAAAATTCATCAAAATAAGGTCAAACAGGTAGCGAACCGATCAAAACAAAAATAAAAACTAGCAAGTGTGCACCGATGATAATGACTCATTACTAAAACTAAAACTTACCCAGACCTCTCCCCCGACGAAAACCCCCTCTTATTAAACACTTATCAAAAAAATTTCACTCTGAACTGAAAAAAACGAAATAAAATAATAAATTTTTGGTGGGAGCAGAGAGCACGTCTGCTTCGTCCGAGTTTTAGCAAGGAAGTGAAATGGAATGGAGCTCATCTTAAAAATGAGTTCCGAGACTGGACATCTATTTATCTGCATATTTGTAAATATAACAAAAGCGGAATAAGTAAATGCTGCACCGGATGCCAGAGACAAATTCAAAAAACCAAGTGTCACAATTATTAAAAATCTTGCATTGAATTGTTGTTAACTATGTCGCACTCTCAGAAATCGCGAGGCTTTTACCCTGTTAATAGGCCCAAATTCTTTCAAATTTTTTTTCGAGATTTTACAAATTATTAAAGTTTTTTTCTACATAAACAAATAACCATTTATTTTTTTAATTAATCTTTGCGGAATTCGATTCTGGACAATGACAAAACTAAACTTTTGTTCGGAACACATTTTTCTTTGATGACGTCCAGCACTTGTTTTATAAACTCTGTAAAATTACGCAGCTTGAGTGAAATATTAAGGAAATATTTATCCATATGAAATTGTAAGATTTTACCGATTTTACGGATTGATCAACACCTTTCGTTAATTGTCTGACTCATAAAATGTATCGTAAAATGTTAACGCCAAATGGGATATTTTTCATAAATTTGTATACCAATTTAAATTCTCAGATGAACAGCGTAGGTCGCCGTAGGTTGAGTGTTTCAGGAAATTCAGTTATGATTAATTTCTTGGAAATTTACACATGCCAATTTTTGAACAATTTTGCCATATTCCATTTCCAAATTTGCATAAATGTCACCTCTTTAAAAATTAAGACATGTGTGAAAAATCATGGCAAATGTTTCCGATTAAAGTCAAATTCGATATTTTTCGTAGTTTCATGCACAGAATGTACATGAAATGTACATGTAACGTACATGTAATGTACATGTACATGAACGTACATGTAATGTAGAAGTAATTCCGAAAAAATTATAATCCTATTCCGAGCTTTGTAAGCTTTGCAAAGTTACGAATCTTATAATGAGACATTCACCTAGGGTTTGGTAACATTGTAAAATCCGTAGATTCTATAAACTTCCAGAATTTTACAAAATTTTACAAATATTTTCGAGGAAAATTAGCTCCCAAATTTTTATAAACTTGCTCAGATCAAAGGCGTCTTTTTATTTTGTAAACGTTTATAAATTTATTTTACAAAAACGCACGGATTTTGCAAAGTTACAAAGAAGTACCTTAATTGCCTCAACAATGTAAACACATAATTGACCTAACTTACTCCTGTAACCTTAAATTCGCAAAATTTTAAACCTGGCGTGTAACTCTCGCAATGCAAAAATATGTATGCGATATTTTATTTCTATTTTATTTTCCAAGCATACGAAAAAATATTTCCATAAAATTTTCCACAATTTTGCAAACAAATTAATCAATAATTTCTAGGAAATTGTCAGGAGCATAGATAAAAACCTACTCAACTGAAAAGGTCTCTCTATCCATCTAAAAAAATGTCAAATTACGAAAAACAATGCGCATAAGTTGCGAAGGATACATATATTTTTCTTTTCTTTAATTAAGTAATTGTCCTTCCTTCCTTCCTTATTTGCATAATGGATTAATTATATTCATCCAAACATGAACTAGACATTGATTAAACAATTAATTAAATTCACAAATAAATAGTTTCATTACGTATATTTTTTCGCGTTTATTGAAGTTTGTCATTATCAGGGGAAGAAAAAAAACTTTATAAGGTTCCCATCTTATTGTCAATTGTCACCTGCACGTGAAATATACGTATTTATTTGCATAAAAAATATGCACATGAAATGCATACAATTAAGTAATAATGGTCGTGCTGAGAGTTAAATGCATATTTAAGTGTTAACATTTACATATGTATTTAACAATGCACAGCTGTTAAAGATGAGCGGAGGGCGGATATGTATTTATTTTTAACCCATAGATCACAGAAATTTCAAAATATTATTTCACATTGTTGCACATTTCTATTTTTCAGACATATCAATATTTCCGCTATTATTTGAATAATATGTAAATCATTTACATATTTTTTCAAAAATATATACATATATTTTATAAATATGTCAACAATGTGGGGCGACGACATTTTTTCCTTGAAGACATTGTATCACAAAATTCACAGAATTATATTCAAAAATACAAATTTTGGGAAAATAATGTTTTTTTGTACATATTTTGGCATTTTTTTGCAAACATTAAATACATATTTACGCGATTTTACAATGCTACTAAAGCCTGACTGAATTGTCTCATTATAAAGTTCGTAACTTTGCAAAGTGTACAAAGCTCGGAATATTCTATTTTTTCACAATAACTTCTCAACAAATGGAAGGGGCGCTTTCCATCTTAAATTGTTAAATTGCACATAAAAATACGAAAAATTTCGAATCTGACTTTAATCAGAAACATTTTTCCCTGATTTTCCGTGCAGGATTTAATTTGTTTAAGCGGTAACATTTACGGAAATATGGAAGGAAAATGAGGAAAAATTATTCGTAAATACATATCCGGCCTCTGAATACGATGAATAAGTAATAAACGGCTGACCCTTTACTGCATTTTTGTTATCTCTGCATTCCTATTTTGAGCACCTAGTTAATATTTAATTACCTCGGGAATTACTTAGAATTAAAGCGGACTATGGAACGTGGGATACACAAAGAATTACAATAATTTGTAGTTACAGTAGTGTGAAAATAAGAGAACTGTGAATTTTGGGTATCTAAGAGAACGGAACAATTTAAATGAAACCGTTTCGGAGCACTAATTAAGTGAAGAGAGCTGAAAATTACAGCCATTTAAAGTTTAAATAGCTATGAAAGACTTCAAATTTTGAAGTTTGTCACCCGTACCGATAAATTAAAATAGAATTAACTCATTTTTTTATTTTGTCAGCATTTTTGACTTATTTATCTTTTGCAAGAAAACAATGGGCGTGCTCACGTCAACGTCTTGCAACTCTTTTAGCAAACTTGTGCGAAATTATGTCCGCATCTTAATTTCGAAATTGCCGATTGTCTAGGTTATTTCTAAGTTCCATCGTTTTCCATACAAAATTTTGTGAAGCCCCGAAGTCTCGCAAAAAATCTTGCAAGTTAGATAGAGATATACATATAAGTATATGTGATAAATTAGCGAGAATTGTGTCTCGGGAAGTGAATAAATATATGCAACGACTTAATTGTACATATAGCAAATAATTATTTAACTTTAACCCATGTCCGTCTTGAAATCGGGAATGTAAACAAAATTAGTTAAAAAACCTATCGTTAAAATTTAAATGATGTATGTATGTTCGTATTTTCAAGTAAATGATTTTGTCAAGTAAGAAATTATGTAAAGTTTTACAGGGATGGAAAAAAATGTTTGCAAAATTTTAACATGAATATTCCATTCTTGTCAATACATCGTTACTTTGCAAATATTAGCATATCATTTCTTTCTGCTAATTATTCTACTGCTAGTATGAGACGATTTTTTTACAGCGATGTGGATGGTATATCGCGTCACCTGGTTAATTATCTACTGCGAAACTCCTACGTGCATATTTGTATTCTCACCACACAATAAGAACCCAATAATTATTGGAATTTGTTTTTCTCCACAAAAAAATAAAGCACCACTAAATTTAACCTTCGTCTTGACATTGGTCTCTCAACTAGTAGGTAATTCTAGTGAAATTGATGACATCTGTATGCACCTGAGAAGGGACCCTGCATAAAAGATGCCTCCAATTTTTTGAGAGATCAAGACGATAACGTACTTCCCATTAATTAATTGTTATGTCAAAATTTCAAAAAATGAATTTCAAATAAAGTAAAAATTTCGAAAAAAAATCGAAATCCCATCCTCTCCGGAGCGTCCCCAGTGATCCCAAAGTACCTATTAAGTAAACTATTAAATTGCAAATATTAAGTCAAGTTCGTCTCAGAATTCAGATAATAAAGACCCGTTTGGGAGGCCGGACCACGTGGTCACAATGTGAATGGGCTTGATTTCAGCTCTAAAAATTAGTAAAAATATGGTCACATCCATGTCGTACGGTCCCCTAAAAATGTTTAATGCATTTTCCGTCTCACTCACTAACACATGCATAAATAAATACACAATTTATTGACACAACAGTAGGTACATAGTTAAAAACAGAGGTACGCATACATACATATTACCTACAGATTTATACCCCTCGGGGTACTAAATATTAAAAAAATCATGAGAAATCCATCAATGATGAGGATAATGGTCCATCATATTTACAGCAGCTTCACTCACACAGATCTCTAAGAAAGAAATACACGTACAACCGATGTCCATTGTGACGAAGACGACCAAGACGCTCACCTGGTTTTGCCATGTATAAAGTATTGGCTACTTGGTATGTAGCATGGCTATTTTTAGCTGTAAAGATGATCCTGCGAGATTTTTTATCCCCTAGACGTCTTCCTCTTTGTCCCTGCTGTTGAATTGAGCTTAGTTTCAGCAGGGACGACGAAGCGGAGGCGAGTTGTTAACTGTAAATCAAATCATCATTCGTTGATAATGATGGACATCCGAGATTCGATCCAAGTATAGCGTCGTCCATTCGAATAGGTGGAGAGGAGGGGAAAACTAGGTTATTGTGACGACGACGACTCTCTATAATAATAGGACTTGATACATGCATTAATTCTGCGGGTGGTGGTTGGTAGTGGTGCATTTTGGCATATCTAATACTCGGGTGTGTAGGATTATTGTTATTATTTTATGCATTTTCAAGTGTGCATTTGCAATCCCTGTGTCAAATGTTCAGATTTAGAAAGTAGAAGAATTTCGCTCTCTGCGTGTCGGTTTCGAGTCGGCGTTGGTTATTACTGACTCTCTGAGGAGACGCCCGAGGAAGAGTGTGGGAAACAAAGAGAGATCGATAATCGGGAGAAATTCGGGGTGGTGAAAAGTCTTCGGTGGTATAAGGAATAAATAAGCCAAGTTACCCGGGTAGTTGTATGTAGGTTCGAAGAGAGAGCTGCTGTTTTTTTGTTGTCGTTGAAATTTCGACTTTTCCTTATCTTGTGAGGGAAGTGATAAGCGTGGGTTATCATGAGGGTGAAGGGGAAAAGGGGAGAAGATCAACCGGAAGTGGGGGGAGGAGAGGACGAGTACAAGATGGAATTAGTATGGAGGAACATAATTGGGATGATCTACCTCCATTACGGCGCCCTCATCGGGTTGTACCTCTGGTTTAGTGGACAAGTTCATTGGCAGACTATCATTTTTGGTGAGTTGATAACTGATTGGTGGAGTATTACTTATGTAAACTGTTTAAAAAAATATTTAAGGTAAAAATTATGCAGGAAATATGTATGTAAGATATTACGATCCGCTTTTTTGTAACCTTCGTAACTCTGCGGAAGTGGATCCCCGCAGTGAAAAAATGTAAATTTATTGGGAAGATTTGCATGAATTTAGTAATGAGACAATTCACACAGTCATTTGTATTGTAACTTTATAAAATTCACTTGTTTGCAAAAATTTGGCAGCTAATTTTCCTCAGAAATATTTTCAAAATTTTGTAACAGTTTGTAACTTTACGGATTTACAAAGTTACCAAGGCCTGCGTGAATTGCTTAATTTTTGTCATTTTAACGTCATAAACTAACTTTTTTGGTAACCCGATATTAATCACGATTCTCAGATGTTTCAATCCCCTTATATGGAACATGATTTTACAATGGTTAAAAAATAACTTGAAATAATAAGTTCCCGGAAATCTGTTGATATGTGAAGTTTCCCAACATTTTTCCAAATTGGGATTATTTTAAAATTTCACACGTTTAAAATATTTCTCTCCAATAATTTCCCAGTTTGACGCCGGGAATTTATTATTTAGAAAAATTATTTACTGGTAACAAATAGAAGATAAAAAAAAATTTGATGCAATTCTATCAATACAATATTTTTGCATATACAGGTTTTGAATTTAAAATTTTCTTGTTTAACCAATGTTGGTAAAATTTGTTGCATTACTTAAAAATTCATTTTATTCACTAAATACGTGAAAATTTGAGAAACATAAATTTAAAAAAATGTATTAAAAACGAAATCCTTGATTTCAAGGCGGAAATACCGGTGCAAAATTTGATGTTTTTTAATAACTAAATAAAACCGAATTTTACTTTAATTTATATTTCTTTTTTGCCGGCAGGTTTTGTGTTCGCGTACTCGTCCGCGTTTGGCGTCACTGCCGGAACTCATCGCTTATGGGCGCACAAAGCGTACAAGGCGAACCTCCCCTTGCGCATCATGCTCGCCGCCATGCAGACTGCCGCCTGTCAAAATAGTATTCATGAGTGGTGCAGGTATGCAAAATTTAAAATGTGCAAATTTTTTCGCAGGAAATTTACTACAAATCTGGACACAATTGACTTTTATGAAGAAACCTTTGAATAACTTGTTTGATTAAAAATTATACTTTTTTGGAGAATTTTGAAAATAACTGAAATTTTTGAATACAGCTTGACACCAATTTGCAGGTCTTATTTTCCCAACAAATTCTAGAAACAAATCAGAATTTTAATCTGGAAGTATATTTTCGGCTATTTTCGGATATTTTCGGCATACAAAATTAACAGATTTTTGTAATTGTATTTGTAACTAATTAATTAATTTTGCGTCAAAAATGTAAAAAAAAATCCGGTTTAAACCCGATATGCGATCTACACATCTGCAATTTAGTACTTATTTTGCAAAAAAAATCAAACTGGCGTCCTGTATATGCTAAAAGTTTCCCTTAAATTCTGAATAAGCAAAATTATAAAGTTTTTAATGAATAGAGTCATTATTAGAGCCTAACAAGTTTTAAAGTCTTAAAATTAATTTCGAAATTTCGAAGTTTTCTTAGTTCAAGAATCTGCATCAAAATTTTTGTTGTAATTTTAATTTTATTTGTAATTAATTGGTTCACAATTTTGCATCAAAAAATATATAAACGTTATAATTTTGGAGTAAAAATCTTACAATGGAGGTCTCCCTACGTATGCTCACAGATTTGAACCAAACTAGCGTCAATCGATCACAAATATAATTACTATGAAATTTGCACATGGAACTATCTGCCAATGCGCAGGTTTGGCGGAGATATTTGCATAAAAAGAGGAGAAAACGCACCCCCAACGCTGGCAAATTTTACATTTTCCAAATCTGCTGCGCAATTTTCCCGCTTTGAATGCAAATATCTCCGCCAAACCTGCGCAGTGGCAGATAGTTCCATTTGCAAATTTCATAGTAATTATATTTGTGATCGATTGACGCTACTTTGGTCCAAATCTGTGAGCATACGTTGGGAGACCTCCATTGTTAGTTTGATAGAATTATTTTCCATACATTATTTGCTGATGTAATCCAATCTGCACAATTAGAATTGTATAATTTATTTACAAAATAATGTAAAGTGGCGTCCAACATGTGTTAAAATTTTAAGGTTTTACCCTTAAATTCTAGTCTTACCTTTAAATTCTGAATACGCAAGATTACAAATTTTGTCTTGAATAAAAATAAAATATAATTTTTCCAAAATCTTAAAATTTCTTGAAATTTAACTCCTGAATTTCACAATTTTACTTATTTTTTTACTTGTTTCTAATGGAATATTTTTAATCCGCTTTAGCTGAAATCACATTGCTAAATATATTGAAATCGCATAACTTGAATTTCCAGTTTCAGAATTCAAAATTTGAGGATAATCCTTAAAATTTTAGCATGCTGGACGCCAGCTTGCATTTTTTTGCGAATTAAGTACCAAATTGCACGTATGCAGATTAAGTATTTAATGATGATGAGGGGGTGGAATTAAGTAACCCGGAATTATAACATTTTTACATTGTTGGTGCAAAATTGCGAATTAATTAACTACAAATAAAATTAAACTCACAGCAACAATTGCGGAATAAGTTTTCGAAATACGAAAAATTTCCAGAATTTTACATTTTTCAGGAAACTTGACACAAGTATAAGATTTAGAAGTTAGCTAAGTAATATTTGCTGGATTTTTACAAATCGGAATTTTATGCAACACAAAATTTGTGTATTCAAAATTTACTGGAAAGAATACAAATTTTACCACATACTTGACGCCGCATGCACTTTTTTTGCAAACCAAATACATTGTAGATGTCGAAATAGATGAAATCAGTATCGTCATTTAATCAATTCGTTTTTGAATCAAGACAAATTTTCAGATCAAAATTTTATATGTAAAAAATAATCTTGTGCTGTAAATTTCTAGGCAAAATTCTGGTAATTTTTGATAATTATGAAAATTTAACAGAAAACTTGACATTATTTCTTTTAGATTTTTAAAAAATTTTTACAATCGTAACACAAATTTCAAGATGCTATTGATATAAAAAAATCATTATTACAAAATTTAATCAGAATTTTTGCACAATGTTTGACACCATTATTCAATTTGTTGAAAAATCAATTATTTCTGAGAGTTCCGCAGGTAAAGTTTCGCCTAAGTGTTTTGTTAAAGTTCTAATTTGAAATTATGAAAATAATTTTTTTCGAAAATTTCAGTAATTTTTCAAAAATTTCTGTAAAAATTTTCCCAGATTTCTAATTCTATCTACCAAAAATAAACATGTAGAGGGAACCATAAAATAAAACTGATAAGATGTTATCATTCCCCCAAATTTGCAGAGATCACCGCGTCCACCACAAGTTTTCCGAGACGGACGGCGACCCCCACAATGCGAAGAGAGGCTTCTTTTTCGCCCACATGGGTTGGCTCCTCTGCAAAAAACATCCCCACGTCCGCTCCAAAGGGAAGGTTGTCGACATGTCAGATTTGGAGCAGGATCCCGTCGTCATGTTTCAGAAAAAGTGGGTGAAATTTAAAAAAAATATTGAGACAATTAATTCACGCAGTCCTTGGTAGCTTTATAAAATCCGTAAATTCTGTAAACTTACACAGATATTTCATAGGAAAATTAGCTCACAACTTTTTTTTAAACTTACTGATTGTAATATTGATCTTAAAAAGCTTACTAAATGACTTGAAAATCCGCCAAAATTATCAAAATAATTATGACAATAATTGTTCAAAACTCTAAAATTTAAATGAAATTGTAAATATAATAAACTTGTAGATTATTACGCAGTTTGTGAACTTCGTCTACCGAGGACCCATCTAAACGCAATTCAGTGTATCTAAAATTTGTTAAATTTTTCATAATGGCCTTCAACCTTACAAATTGTGGAATTTTTCGATAATTTTTTCGACAAATATTAACCTTACAATTTTTTTGTAAACTTACTCAGATCTAAGGAGTCTCTTTATTTTGCAAAAGTTGTAAAATTATTTTGCAAAACTTGCGAATTTTATAAGAATTTCCTTAATGACGGATTTGATTTTTGTGTCTAGATTTTTCGTGCCGTTGACAACTCTGACATGTTTCGTGATCCCGACGTACATTCCAATCGCGTATTTTGGGGAGACTTTTTACACGGCATGGAATATCACCCTTCTCCGATACATTCTCACCCTGCATGCCACGTAATATACATATTTATAACCTTGACCCTTGATATATGCTGTGACCTTGACCTTTGACCTAATAGGTGGCTTGTAAATTCGGCCGCCCATATCTGGGGGTTTCGCCCGTATGACAGGTAAGTAAACCTTGGGAAAACTGTATGCGAAAATTTATTCAGGAAATTGCATGCAAAATTTGTCGTGCAAACATCATATTCCGGAAATTATATGATAACAAAATTTATTTTTGGAAATATCACGCAAAAGTTATTCCAGAAATTGTATGCAAAATTTCTGCTACAATTAGCACACTTTGGAAATTTGGTGAAATTCAAATTTTTCTGTGAAATCAAATTTATCTTAGAAATTAAATTCTCTTCTAAAAAGTTCATAAAAACGCAATTAGGTGAACAAGTCTTACAATATTTGAAATGTTTTTACCTCAAGTTTTTTCAATCATTTATCTCACAAAAATGCTATCCTTAAACCAGAACAAGTTCGCATAAATCTCAAAATTTGCCCGTATTTCGAAAAAATACTATCCATATTTTGAACAATGTCTTCCCCTCTTTCCAGTTCCATCAACCCTGCCGAGAATAAGTTGGTCTCCATCATAACGCCGGGCGAAGGGTGGTAATTACGCAATAAATTAAGTCTTATTACGTTTATCAGTGGCCACGGAAGCGTGGGACCATGCCCCCACGGTTATTCGATGTCCCCTTCATCTTCCCCATGTTATACAAACCCCTAACCTCCCCTATCCTACAATTGTAACGTCCCCACGTGTCCCCACGCCTTCCGCGGCCCCTGATGATTAAAACAAGACTCTAAAACGCTCTATTTTCTCCCCCCGCAAGGCACAATTTCCACCATATCTTCCCTTTTGATTACAAAGCCGCGGAACTCGGGGACTACAAGCACAACTTTTCCACCGCCTTTATCGACTTTTTCGCCTGGTTAGGATGGGCCTATGAGCTCAAAACGGTCCCCGAACGCGTCATTTTGGCCAGAATTGCTCGCACGGGAGACGGAACGCATCCCAGCGTCGCTAAAAAATCAAAATTGGACAAAAATAGTAACATAACCGCGACCACATCGACGGGAGGACATCACAGCCACGACTTATCCACGTCGTGGGGCTGGGATGACGTGGACACGCCGGAAAGCGTTAAACAAGTCACGATTATCTATAACGCCAAGAAAAGTACGACTTGAGATTAAGTGAAATTGTATGAAATATATTTTATCCTGACTGAAATGTCTGAAAAAAATGAAAGAAATTTGCTACGATTTTGACAAAAAATGTGTGCATTTGGGATTAGTTAAAATATTCTTCCAATGTTAAACTTATTGCGTAATTATGTTATGATATGATTAATTATTTGAGATTATTTTATGACAAATAAATTGAGGGGTCACATTTTATTACGTGAATAATTTGTTGCATTTTAGCATCAATTTTTGCCGAAATCGAAAGAATTTATGAAAATTCCATTGAAGAATTTATCGAAAGATAAGAATTTCCAATGTTCACCTAGACTTAACCTTTGCCGGATTCTTTTTGCAATTCAAAATTTCTCCTACCGGCGTTAAATAATTCTTAAAATTTAGAATTTGGAAAAAATGTTTTTATAATTTATTTACGTACAATTTGTTTTGAACGCTATCGTCACATTGTATTATATTTTTGGGTTATATGAATCAAGTTTATTTTATAACGGCGTAAATGTGCATGTCAAGTTCTCGTCAAAATTTTTAAAATTCTATAAAAAATTTTTCCCTTCCTGAAATTTGTCTGTCTCGTTTCATATTTCAGAAATTTTCAGTTTATGCGGTTTTGTGTATGGTTTTTTACGATTCAAATCAGGCAGAAATTTTTCGGAAAATTTTAATGAGTGAGTTGAAAAATTGCAATATTTGTTTTTGTTAGTATTTTTAAAATTCAAAATTGTACATAACGGCACCTAACTTATCGAAATATCGAAATCACAAACCCAGAATTTAACCTATTCTATTAGCATGTACTTGAAGGCGTTACGATATGTGCACCATAATTTTTCAGACAAAATTGTGGATTAAAACCATACAATTTTTCATCTCGATCTTTTTAAATCTCGCAAACCTCCGAAATTTCAGAATTTCCAAACTTCATTTGAAGAAGAGATGTCTTCCTTCTTTGAGGTTTTCCGAATTCAAAACTTTTTGCTAATAGCATTGAGGTTGACAAAATTTCAAAATCGCGAAAACACACATTTGCATGTAAAAAAAGTTTCCGTTTACTTTTGCCACTACTCTGACCTAACCTAACCTAACCATGAGAAATATTAAATTTGCAACGATTTTGAAAAAAATATAGTTAATTCCGCGCCGGTAAAAAATCAAAACTGGACAAAAGTAGTATCATAACCGCGGAATTTACGACGGGAGGTCATGATTCGTCGTGGGGTTGAGATGACGTTAACACGCTCGCAAGCCGACAAACTAGTCACGATTATCTATAACTCCAAGAAAAGTACGACTTGAGATTAAGTGAAATTGTATGAAATATTTTATCTTGACTGAAATATCTGAAAAACTTTTGGAATTTGCTACAATTAAAAAAATGTATAAAATCTTCCAACGTCAAAATGATTGTGTAATTATATTATGACATGACTAATTCCGACATTATTTTACGACAAATAAATCAAGGGGTCACATTTTGTTGCGTAAATAATTTTGAGCACGTACATAAAAATTGGGGATTTTGCGAGCGCTGCGAAGCAGCGTGAAGCAAAATCTAGATTATTTGAGTCTTCCGGAACGGAAGACATCACTGTGTAGTGGTCGAGATCACGGCGTGAGTGAGACGTGCCACCTATGTTTTAAAGTTGAAAAAACAGGGTCTGTTGAGCTCCTGGCATTGAGCTCCTGGCAAAGCAACCGAATCAACATTAAATAAATAGGGGGTGGGCCGGAGGGCAGTGATGTCTTCCGTTCCGGAAGACTCAAATAATCTAGATTTTGCTTCACGCTGCTTCGCAGCGCTCGCAAAATCCCCAATTATTTTTCGTCTTCCTCCACTTCTTACATCACTGTGTAGTTGTTTAAAGTAAATGTTGATGAGGAAGAGTTCACAAACGGTATGTTATTTCAAATGACATTTATTTTAAATAGACTTATGGAATACAACTGAGTACAGCATCAGCCAAAGCAGTATTATTAACAATTGGTTTGTGATAAAAAGTAGCAAAAGTTCTGGACTTATTAGACCATCCAACACTTTTCATAATTATATCTACATTTACTCCTCTTTTCGCAGCCATCGATGTTGCTGCATGTCGATAACTATGAGACCCAAACTCTTCAATACTAATATTCGCTAACTTAAGTACATTACAGAGCCATCGACTTATCGTCTGCGAAGTAATTGGCCCATGAGGCCTTACAAACGAAATGAACAATTGGTCACAATTTTGTAATCTAATATCTCTAGTTTTATCTATGTACATTTTCAAACAAGCTACTGGACAGAGTCTTGAATCATGGTAGGGAGGTAAAATAATTAATGGATTCTGATTATGTATGTTGGTAGTTTTAAGTACATCAGTTAATTTAATTTGTACAGGATTAGACCAAATTATGTTACTAATTTTCAATGATTTTAAAGTCTGCACCCTCTGCGCAGTAACTAAAGCTAAAATGGAAACAAGTTTTAAACTCAGATCTTCTAAACTAATATTATTGTTATCCCAAGTGGAAATCAACGTTAAAACCGACGAAGGGTCCCACGTGACGTTATACTTACAAGTTGGTGGTTTTACTTTATAAATACCTTTCATGAACTTGGTTACTAGCTTGTGCTCGCCAATATGTATATTGCTGTTTAACCCAAAAATTGTGGATGCTGATCTAGCAGTATTTATAGAATTATAACCTAGTCCAGATTCATACAAAGATGTCAAAAAATATAAATATTGGGATATATCTACCTTCCACAGATCATAACCCTGCTGATTACAAAAAATAACATATTTCTTAATTGAGGATTCATACTGCTTCCATGTGCTTAACGATAATGAGTTTTTTATAATATGAACAACCGAGTCTGGAAGTTGTAATTTCTTTAATGCTTCCCTGATAATTTGGCGGCCATCAATGTTACTTTGCAGCTCAACCCGTGTTCCCTATTCAAATAAGGAGAAAATAATTCATTTCTATTCTTTGTAATCAATATTATTTCAGATATTTTCATCTCATTAAATAAAGGGAACCAGGCTTGAGTTGGCCAGTACGGAGCCACAACAATTCCCTCACACCTTTCCATTTTTATTTTACTTAAAACCCGAGGAATCAGAGTAAATGGTGGAAAAGCGTAAAAGTTTAAACGCCATGGTTCGGTAAATGCATCTACCCATTCACACTCGGGAGATGGTTTCCATGATACAAAGCGATCACACTGTCGTGTCAAAGGTGATGCAAATAAGTCTACATCTGGTTTCCCTAATTTTGCTATAATTCAATTGAAATTATTTCTGCTAAGCATAAAATCAGACTCGTCAAGTTGTTGTCTAGATAAACCATCAGCAATGAAATTATCCTTCGTACTAATGTACGATGCAAAAATAGTCATACTTCTTCTTTCGCACCATTGCCATATAGATTTGGCGATAGCATGAAGTTTGGGAGACTTGCATCCGCCGAACCTATTTATGTATGAAATAGCCGTGGTGTTATCACTCCGACACAAAATTTCTTTACTTTGGTCTGAAAAACATTTCAGTCCGTTAAATAAGGCTAACATTTCTAACTCATTAATATCCTGCTTCCTCTCTGATGGTGACCAAAAACCTCTTGTGGTGCGGCCATTACATTCGGCGCCCCACCCAGTGAGAGATGCGTCGGTTGTAATCACTAAATCAAATGAATTCTTCCTTAATCCTTTTTCAGCTGACTGAATATTTAATAGCCACCACCTCAGGTCATGAATAGCTAAATCAGACAAAAATACCTTGGCTGAAAAGGAATTATTTGAATTTTCTAAGGCTACAGTTTTCTCAATTTCCAACTGCCTCGTATAAAGTTGACCATATTTTACAGCTGGACAGACTGAAATTAAAGTTCCTATAATTTCCGCTAACTCGTGAATTGTATTGGACTTGACCGATAGATATTTACGGATTTTTTGCATAAGGTTATCCTTTTTAGCTGATGGCAGGGTTAATTTCATATCGACTGAGTTAATAATAAATCCTAAAAACTTTACTTGCTGAGAAGGAACCAATTGTGATTTCTTATAATTTATTTTAATGCCTAATGCTTCAAATAATTTGATTGTGAATTTAAGGTTCGCCAAGCAAGACTCAAAAGTATTTCCCATCATCCAACAGTCATCTAGATAACTAACATTTAAAAATAAGTTGGATCGTAGATAAGCAAGAACTGGTTTCATTATTTTTGTATAGAGCCATGGGGCTAAATTCAATCCAAAGCAAAGGCAGGTATATGCGTAGAGAACGTCATTCCATCTGAATTTTAAAAATTTCTGAGATTCTAGTGCAATTGGGATCATATAGTAAGCATCCTTTTGATCAATTACTGCCATGTAACACCCGTTTGTAACTAGTGATGTTGCCATTCTAACATCTTCTAATTTAAAATGTGGAGCAAAAATAAAATCATTTAACTTCTTCAAATTTAAAACAAAACGACGTCCACCATCTGATTTGGCGACAGTGAAAACGGGAGAAATAAATTGACCAACCTCCTCTTCAGAAACTCTAATTGCACCATTTGAAATCAATTCTAGAATTGCTTCATCGACAAATTTAGTTTCTTCTGCACCCATCTTAGGGTTGTTAGGTTCGGTGAATTGTTGTGGCTCAGACTCAAATTGAATATCATATCCTTGAATAGCTCTTAATACAAATTTATCTTTAGTAATTCTTTCCCATTGCTTAACATAATGTTTGAGTTGACCTGCCTGATTATGATGCATATTCGTTACTTCCTCTGGAAATTGGGGTTCGACTGTTGAGGATAATTGCTCGACTGCCAGCTTGGGCGTCGACGCGGAAACATTGCTTCCCTCTGTTGCCCGAACTGTTGCCTCTGGGGAGTGAAGAGCCTTGGGCGATTGAAGTTTAAAGGATTCCGTGGATTAAAATAGGGCTGCGACCGTTGAGCCTGACCTGGCCGAATGAATGATTTCCGAACAACATTTGATGCAGTTTTGGAAGCTTTTAGAGTCTCATTCAGATCAGATCCAAAAAGATATTCCGATACTGGAATCTTTGTATAACAAAATTTGGCATATAACACAAACCATGAAAATTTTTTAGGTTTTTTTTTAAATTAAATAATTATTTCCATAATACCTGGGAACTACATATTCCGTGATATTCATAGTTAATATGTTTCCTTACTTCCAGTCGCCTCTTTTTAGATATCGATTGGATTTGATCACCCAAAATGTTCCCGCCATCAATCGCCAGTTTAAGAATTGAAACCTTGACCTATTTTGGAATGTTATTTGCATTTTTTGCGACTTGATTTGCAATCTGCGCCAAAGCATTGAGTCCAATTCCAAGAAAATATTGGTTTTGTTGCATATTGAGATCTGTTAATCTAGCCGGGGCTGGCAGATGGGACCAGATTTCTTGGTTCATTTTTGGAATAATTAATGGTTTGCAATTTATGGGTATCTTGAAGTTATTTCTTAAATTTTCAGAGGTCTCTTTCGATAATGGGCGAGTCATTGTTTTGTTGAACCCCTCAGCAACTTCATTCATTATCTCTGGCCCAAATTCAATGGATTTTTCCACATCCTTTAACAAATCCTGAATTTCCAAATCAGGCGGAGCCACATCAAATCCTAATAAGGATTATGATAAGGATTAGAATAAGTTATAGAAACAACTCATGCTTATAAAGTATCTGAGCGCTAAGCAAAATTTTACCCTTTTCATTTCCTCCATTGAATAAATTTGCAAAAGTGTCTGACTCCTTGTTCAATATGTCGACATTGTCTGCCTCATTATCAGATTCATCTGATAAGTTCCTCAGATCCCAGGATCCCTTAGGTTGTGTCATTTCTGTGACAAAACAACTGAATTTATAATTGGTGAGGGCCGTATAGGAACACCTCGACAAATGGGCTGTATAGGCACCAGTACCCGTACCTATTCAAGGTTGCTCCGGGTTTTACTTTATTTTACATTTATCTTTTATCTTTTCTTTAATTTTGATACTTAAAACTTCTCTCATACTGTAGAAAATGACCCACCCCTCAAAAGGAAAAGATTTCTTACCTTGTTGATTCAGTAGAAAGCTTGAGTTCCAAAAAACTTCTTCATCCAGAAATTCGGTTAAAAAATGATGAAAATAGTTGGGAGTTCACGGCGCACACGTCCACACTGCACTGCTATGAAAAAGACAATACCGCTTGCAGGTTATGCCAGGAGCTCAACAGACCCCGTTTTTTCAACTTTAAAACTGTGATCTCGACCACTACACAGTGATGTAAGAAGTGGAGGAAGACGAAAAATAATTTTGCTGTGATTGATATAAGTGTACTTATTTAATATCTGTGAAATTCAAGATTTTATATTACGGCGTCAAACTTATCGAAATTTCAAAATCGATAAATTTATCAAATTTTACATAATTCTATTAGCATGTACATATATGAGGTTTTTGAGACGTACTTTTACACACATTTCAAAGTAAATTTGAGTTACAAACTTTTACAAAATTTATGAACTGCAAAAGGCATGTTTTTGGTTCGTAAACAAAAGTTGGTAAATAATTAGGGTATAAGAATATGGTAATAATTTGTTTTATGTTTGCATTTTAAGTTGAAATCAAGGCTGCTATACGTTACGCTTGTGAGAAATTTTTTAGCAAAAAATATTTAGAGAAGTGGTTACAATGCCAATTCACGTTAAAAGTGTGTAAACTTACAAACCTAACGCAGTTACGTAGTTACAAACTTGCCGTGAAATCCCTTCATATTACATAGTCTTACCATAAGAAGTGATAGTAGAGCGTAGTTTTTGAACCGGTCAACATAAAATTAAAAGGTCAGTTGCGGTTTGTACATACATTCAGTGCCTATCATTGGTGTTGACCGTTTTTACTTGACGTCACTAGGTCAAAAGTAGGAGGAGCTTAGCTACACGCGCGCGGCAATAATTTTTCACTTTTTGCAAGAGAAAAAATTGCACGATGTTTGATGTAGTGTAGCAGTCCAAGTTCAACAACGATCTGGTTGCCCAAACTATTAAAGTAATCCTAGAGACAGTGTCTATCTTTGGTATAATGGTTTCGGTGGTTGAACGTCAAGGAGGACTTCAGTGATGTCCGAAGCTTTAAATACCAGAATAGCACAAAATCTCTATCTGACGCGGAGACTTTGGCCACACAAATGACCTTTCAACTTTAGAGATCAGATTAGCACTGAAAAGTGACTCTAAGATGAAGGTCTTTTGGATTAGAAAGCGTCACATGCTACAGATATCCCAAGTCTAAGCAATGGTCAAAAAATCGACCTCTCTCCCCAAACGGTACGGTGAAAAAAACAAAAAAAACTAACCCGTTTACCGATGATAATTTCTTTACGACAGGAACATATTTCAACAAAAAAACTAACACGTTTTATGTCAAATACTCTAAGGGTTAGCTGATTACAAAATAAAGGTCAAAATGTTATCTTATCAGGCTCTATTCATGGTTTTGGCGGGAATCGGCGGAACTGAGTAAAATCAGCCAAATTTCCTTGATTAAGGAGAGGAGATAGTTTAAAAAAATATTTGATAAATGTCCTGGTGAAGAAGGAACACCCCCTCAACTAGTCCATATTGGGTGAAAAGCCACCGACCTTTGTGCAGGCGTCCACAGTAGCATTTACAGCGAAATTCGTGAAAAACTGGATTAAAATCCATATTTCTGACTTCATTTGCACTTTAGGTTTTACGTTGGAATTTTCGAACCGCAGACAACTTCACTACCAAATGTTGATTAAAATTGAGGAAAAGGTCTGTTCTGAGCCCCATATATGCGTCAGGGTCACAAAATATTTCTGACCCGGGAATGACACAGTTTGTCAATTAATTTCGTGCGTATTTTTGAAGGAGCTTTCTTTCGTGACCAATTTTTCATGGTTACAGAAGGAATATATTTTCAAGTTTAATACATGTTTTCTATATAAAATTTAACTGGCTTTTCAATGGAATAAGAATAAATTTGAAATTCCTTAAAACTAACCTAATATAGTCGTCTACTCTACTATCACTTTTTAAGTTGAGACATGTACATAGGTATATCATTATCTTGAGCAATCTCCCCTTCATTTAGCTTCGTGAGGGCTTCCTTCGCATCACTTAATTCTTTCTCCAAGTCGCGGACATTTTTCACGTTGCATGTTCGTTGCTTTTCTAGTGCCAAAATTTCCAGCTTTATCTCTACTAAAAACGTGTACATAAATAAATTCAATTTATGTATACATTTAGTAACCATGTAATCATATATATTTATTCTTACTTTCTTTTGTATCCTCGGTGGATGTCGAATCCAAGTCAGCGTCCGAACCATTTTCATCTTCAAATTTTCCCTGATTATTGTATCCTGTTAAATACTTTTTCACTGGGAGATCTTTGAAAGATTCTAAATTAACAAACATAAATGTATAAATTATTAATTTGCTCATTTAATTGTTCACCTTATTTAGCCTACCTGGATTGATTGTTTTGAATACAACCTGTTCAATCTCGTCTCGTTCAACTCTTGCCAACTTGAGTCTATCTTCAATGCCTTTGACTTTCAATTCGGCCAATTCTAAATTATATATAATTTCAAAATAAATTTCATAATTTTTATAGGAAAATTTTCTACAATTAATATTTTGTATGCTAAAAAAATACCTTTCTTCATCTTTCTATCTTTCTCCTGAATCTCCTTTTTTATCCTATCCCGTATTTTAGAGATCTCCTCTTTACACATTCTAAGTTTTTCTTGGTCAGACATCTGAAATTATTTGAACAACTTGGAAAAACTTGGAAAAACAATTTTTACGTTCCTCGTATTAAATGTCGACTTTAGTAACTTGTGAAGGTGAGTGAACGAAGCAGGAGGAGGATGGTAGAAGTTGCATATTTTACATAAAGTGCAATATATTGATAAGCAAATTAGATTCATTGATTAAGATTGGTTTTTATGTACCTTTGTCTCTCTTCGAGGTATGTCCATGCAACCCATGATTTAAGTATCGTAAATGAAATGTATATGTATTTAAGAAGTACACTGTAAATTAAAGGATATCTTTTTATTATGAAGTCAACCCAATCACAGTTAAAGTTCAACTGGCTATTTCGTTTCCTAAACCTTGCATATTTTACATGGTGGCGTCGTTTTAAAATAGATAGTCACATTTATTTATGGCATTTTTAGAAATGATTATTTTTGAAATTTTTTGAAAGCTATATATGTTTGTGTACATTTGGAGATTTAGGAATATGTGCTGAGGGTACTTTTCCTCCCCGGTATAGATAATAAATAAGGGTCATCATCGTAAAGGGTTAAAATGGTGCAGTAAAATGTTTAAAGGTTTAAGTTAGTATAAAGGATGGATTAAATGAAGGACCCACTTTTCCTTAATCAAGACCCACGAGGAGAATTAAGTATTTATTCTGGGTTCATAATGAGCAAAAATTGATGCCAATATTTTATTAGTAAATATTTAGGATTGGTGAAATAAATTATGTTTAAAGAAAATAATTTTCATTCCATGAATTTTCATAAATTTGAATATAATAAACCGTTATAAAATCCATTTCATGTAAAAACTTGAGCAACTCGGGTGCCAATAGGTCCAATTTCTGTTAAAATTAAGGACGATATATTTTTTGAAGGTTCATAAATTTTTAAATTGGTCTAGTTAATATTAATCTTATTTCCAGATTTTTTAATAATGTCCAATTTAAAAATTTTGAAATTGGAGAAAGTATTTTTAGTTTATTTAAAAATTTATATAATTTTGTTTTGGACTCAATCGTCACCTAATATTATTTTTTTGGGGTTACAACGGCGTCTATACAACTTAATTTCGCGGCAGAATAAAATTCTCTAAAATCTATAATACAGACAATTCAAATTTTTTATCATAAAATTCGTTTCATATTTCAAAAATTTCATGCGATCTTGTGTACCTTCTTTTCAGTAAAAATTTTTAGGATTGAATCTATATTTCTCTAAATTTTGGTGCTAAGTTAAAAGGATCTTTGTTTCGTTTAGTGTGTTTGAAATTCATAATTGTTTATAACGACGTCGAACTTGTCGATCTTTTGAAATCGCAAAATTTTCCAAAATCTACACTATTCTATTAGCATGTACTTCTTTGAAGTTTCTGCGACATGTACACCCTATTTTTCAGTCAAAATTCTAGATTAAAACTACAAAATTTGTTATTTCTATTTTTTTAAATCCCACAAACCCCCGAAATCTTAGAATTTTCAAACTTCTCGAAGAGATCGGACCTTCTCTTCCGTTGTTTTTTACAATTTCAAAATTTTTTGTCAACGGCGTCGAATTATTATAAATTTCAAATATTTACATGCAAAATTTGTGCTGCGAGGAATAAAGTATTCATTTAATTTGCCATTTTTCTAACTACATATGTATATATAAATATGAAATTTAAAACGGTTTTAAAAAAACATAGCAAGTATTTTACGACATGAATAAAGTAATGCTTAAATAATTTTGAGGTAGCAAAAAAAATATTTAAACTTTCCGCTATAGCGCGGAATACATTAATTATTATATCCACCATTTCTATTTGACATTTTCATTTTTTTATACAACTTTTTGAGATGTTTCACTTATAATTCCACGCACAATTTGTGAAAAGCGCCGAGGCGGGAATTTTAAAAATTTGCATATATTTACAACCAAATGAAGCGTTTGCGATGTTCTAAAACGCGCATGGGTAGAATAACGCCGTCGACATCTTTCTGTATCGCGCTGCATTCGACTTGTCCATCGTCGTCGTCGTAATAGGCCTGCACCATGCCGCACAGGATCCTTTTCCGGCAAACCGTATCGCAAGGATCTCTACTTTGATAGTTGGGGTTCGTCGCTGTGATGTAGTATCTGAAAATTTCAGAATTTGAAAATTTCGAAATTCCAATGAAATTTTTATCACTGACCAAATCACCCGGCAAGATAAACCTTTAGGCTATTTTGAAATTTTATAAATTACTGAACGATAAAATTATTACGAAGGTTTGTTAACAATTCGAATTGAATTGTTAAATTTGACCAAATTAAACGGCAAACGGCAAACCTAACTTAAAAATAAACTTGCGTTCGTCATAGGGCGGAAATTTCACATTTTTTTACCCAAGAGTATTATTTTATTATTTTCCTTTTTTTACAAGAGATTTTTTTATAATGCACGCAGTCTTGCTAACTTTGTAAAATGGGTACCCTTCCAAAATATTACAAATATTTGTGAAGAAAATTAGCTGGATTGGAATTAGCATTAAATGGGATTTTAGCGTTAAAAGGAATTTTATCATGAGGCAATTCACGCAATTCTAGGTGGATTTTACCAGTAAAAAATTAAGAAATGTACGAAAGATCAAAATGTTTCGGACTAAAGTCGAATTCAAATATTTTTTACATGTAATTTGACAATTTCAGGCCTTCAAATGTCAGTTTGGTTTGCTTAGAACTAATTTTGAAAAAATAAAACAAAAAATAAAAAATAAAATTCGGACCTTTGTAAACTTTGTAAAGTTATGAGTTTTATAACGCGGCAGTTCACTCTGGCTTTCGTAACATTGTAAAATCCCTAAACTCCGTAAACTTTCACAATAGTTTACTAATCTAAAGAAAATTAGCTCACAAATTTTTGTAAACTTATTTAGATCAAGGGTGTCTCTATATTTTGTAAAAGTTGGTAAAATTATTTTACAAAATTAACAGATTTTATGTACAGACAAATTACCAATGATTTGCATCAATATAATCTTGATTTATTTTTTATTTTTTACAAATTTGTAGCATTATCGAGTCGTTTAGTAAATTAGTATAGAGAGAGTGAAATCAAAAATGTTGTAGGTATGAAACTGGCAGTCTGGTTCAAGTGCCGGGGGATTGGAACTTAGTACCTGGGAAACGTCACCCAAAAGTTCCGATTCCCTGGACTTTTTACTTATGCAAGTTACAGGGAAACGGAACCCACTTGTCGCAGGATTTAGCGGGCCTCGATTCCCCGGTACCCTATTAGACAAAAGTTACGATTCCCAGGAACCCAAGATTTTTCTTCTATTTTTCATAAATTGGATATATTTCCGAAAAAAAATTTTATTGTCTCAAATTAACCTCCCACCAATGAAGAACATTGGATAAAAAAATTAGAATTTTTTAAAATGGCGTTTTTCCTAAAATCACAAATATCTGACAAATTTGAGGAGCGGCAAGCTTAAAAAGGTCCGGGGAATCGTCACCCAACAATGATTTTCATATACAAATAATTTTTGGGTGACGATTTTCGGAAATATATCCAATTTATGAAAAATAGAAGAAAAATCTTGGGTTCCGGGGAATCGTAACTTTTGTCTAATAGGGTACCGGGGAATCGAAGCCCGCTAAATCCTGCGACAAGTGGGTTCCGTTTCCCTGTAACTTGCATAAGTAAAAAGTCCAGGGAATCGGAACTTTTGGGTGACGTTTCCCAGGTACTAAGTTCCAATCCCCCGGCACTTGAACCAGACTGACTGGTGAAAATGAATTTTGACGACATAAGTTTGACGCTAATTTCGTGAAATTTTATAAATTTTATACCCATAATTAAAACTGCTGTATTTTATTAGGTGATGTATTTTGAAATGGTAAAAAACTTGTAAATCGGAAACTTTCATGATAAAAGATTTTGTATCTGTATGTTCAAATTGGATGATTTTTTTAAAAATTCAAATTCTAAATAGATTTTTACATTTCAAGAATTTGTAAACTTTATTAGAAAAGTTAATTTTGCAAATTTCTTGCATTTTCAAATAAACATGTTTAAACGAATCCTTGAAAAGTATATACAAATTATAAACATTTGATCCCGGGAGTTTGAAACTCTTAATTGGGAAATTTTGACAAAGAAATTTGGAAATTTTGACACCATTTTGTGAAACTGTACAAACTTTTATACTAGGTAAACTTGTTAAGGTGAAAATTCTTGCAAAGTTAAAACAAATACTGCAAACCAAGAACTTTTAAGAAATTCGTTTAATAAATTATTCGATTTTTTGATACATTTGATACATTTTCAAGTCATTAAAAGCAGAAATGAGATGAAATAAACCCTCCAAACGAATGTGAATAAGTAGCGTCAGAGCGATTCCAGTTTCCTTTAACGTTTCTCCGCATATGACCTCTTCCTAACGGTCATGAGGTCAAAAATATTAACGTCCTTGAAATCACAGTCAAATTTCCTTTAGATTGACATCCCATATGAGAATTACGTATCTTTTGACCTCTGACCTCGTCGTCAAGGTCATAAGGTAAAAAATATTGATATCGTTGAATTCATGGTCAAATTTCCTTTAAAATAACACCCCATATGAAAATTAAAGTTAAATTTAATCTGGACCACACCCCCTGGCGCTGTGGGGTGTGGTCCGATTGATCCCATTTTCGAACTCGACCGAGAACTAAAAATTAGAAGAACAATGGCGAAAACGGGGTTTGATTATGTGTACTCGTTCTGGAGATATCCTGCTTACGGACGGACAGACGGACGGACGGACGGACAAAACGATCACAATAAGTAGCTGACGCTACTTAATATTTCATCTTCCTTCGCTACGACAGTGATGTCTTCCGCTCCGGAAGATTCATATAATTATGATTATGCTTCACGCGGCTTCGCCGCGCTCGCATAATCTCCAATTAATAATTACAAGTGTGGTAATGATTAAGTGCTTGCAAAATTTCATAGGGCAAATTTTTACGGGTAAAATTTAGCTAAGTAATTTATAAACTTTCACACCAGTTTGTTATTTTTTTCAAAATTAGCCAACATCTAAAATAAAACAGGTAGAATTCATCTTTGGTCTAAATTTTAAAAAAATAACTT